TACTTCATTAAGCACCAAATTTTGTTGTAATTTCAAACCAGATGGTGCTTCATACTGAAATTACCTGGATTATATGGACTATCAGTGAAATTATAAGGAACTTGGCAAGTACTATCTGCTAGCTAGCATGCTAGGATTTCTCCCATCTCAGCTAACATAGCTAACATTGTTTAGTATTTTTCTTTAAAATTTTCAGGTGTAATGGTATAGACAAGATTTTGAACAGCAAATCAAACTTCTATGTTGTGAATCCACAGAGTAGTTCAACACAGGGAGGCTGCTATGTTAATTTATTCCCTTGTTAGTGTACATTAATCCCCCATGTAAGCAAGCCCTTCCTTAAGCTCATTTCAGTGAAAATAATTTCCACAAGATGAGCTTGCACCCATGAGCAAAACCAGAGGGTGAATAAAGCTTTGGATAATCTTACATCCACCTAATGCCAATCATACAACCAATTCAGTCCATTTTCTATCCCTACCCTTTGAGGGGGACCTGCCCTTGCCCTCCTTTTTTAACAACAATTTTTTCTTCTGCGTATAATTAATTTTGTCTTAGTTATTCATCTTAGCATCTGAAAACCAGAAACAGATGGCTTTAATTATTTAGCCATCGTTTTATCACTAAACATCAAATTACAAAAGCTTTCTTAGAATGACTTTCCTCATCTGTTTCATGTTTTCCATCTTTATTTTGGGAGAAATATGGGAGAAAGTTTATTTTTCTATCTGGTGCCTGCTTCCTTTGCTAGATAGTTGAGGGACAACTGTTAATTGTTTACTGTCCATTTGCCTGAAGATCTGTTAGCTACACTCCCAGGAAAGCCCTCCAAGCAGCCATGTAGGTGACAGTGTTTTGATGTTTTAGCACTTCATACGTAAGAGTAAGGCCACATCATAATTTATGTGAGTTGTCAGGTCCTCCAATAGCTCATAGAGTCAAAAGGCAAATGATTGTAGCATTAATTCAGAAGGAGTCAGAGTGAGGACAGTGTTGGCAAGTATGCCAGGAGCTGGCCCTGATGCAATTGCTGGCATCTTCATGGGCTGCTTGTTTACATTTGGATTTTGGACCTGAACAATCAGGTCATTCTGGATAGTGCCTTTGAAATGCTCACTCAGGACATGGATGTGTCTTCAGCAGGGTGCCCAGGATTCTGCCCCAGGACCAAAATATGGAGGGAGGCAAAGCAAGTCTGGGGAAAAATGAACCGGTGGACTCATTTCAAATAAGCACTTGAAAACTTGGTTCACCCATTAAATATTCAATATATTGAGTAAAATGGAATACCTTCCTTCATTATCATTATGTTAAATCACATCCTTAAAGAGAAGGAGCCACTCTACATTGCATGGCTGTGATGATACTGAGTACCCATAAATACAGTTGAGATAGGTGTGTTGAACCCAGGTCAGCTGTACATCAACATAGCAGTGTGAAACGGCTGAAGGGGAACTTCTCCCAAAGTATCTTTTAATTTTTTTAAGTTTTTTTCTATTGCATTCTCAAGAGGTCTAAATTTGGAGTTAATAAAATAGAAGTGATCAGGCTGAAGTATAAAGTCAAAGTATTGCACAGTATATCTTGGTGACACAAGATGGATACAAAATCTGTGCTTTACCAAGCCTAAAAGGCAGGACCTTCCCCACAATACAAACTAATCTTTTGCAGATTCATGGCAGCTGTCATTGACCATTTGACACAATTTTGTGCTAAGAGAGGCTAATATGGACATAACACAGTAAGACACATCAGTGTCTATAGTGAGTGGAACCTGCTGTTTGTAGCTGCCATCCTGCTTACCAAGTTATCTGGAAAGATTTGTAATAATTATTCAAGTTTTCTTGGGTTAAAACACTCATAGTAATCTGGAATATTCTCCTATAATTTCATTTTATTCTTACCAGTTGCGGAAAACTAAAACTATAAAAAGAAATGCATAGAGTAGTAACAGCTTTTGAGAAGATGTGCAAAAACTAGCTTCTCCTCAAAGCTCATCACTAAGCCTGTAATTTCTTTTTTATATTTCTAGCTGTCATCTTTATATGGTAAAATACTTACATTGGCAAGTATTTATATTGTTAACTAAAACTGCTAAAAGGCCAGCTTCTCAGAGGTGATGCTGTAGGAAAAGAGAAAAAGCCTAAATTTAATTAATATCCTAAAACCTTGATCATAGTGCTACTTGCCTCCAGCTGGATGTTATGCTGTGTGGAAGATGGGTCTGTCTTAGAAAAGCAGCAGTTGTTTACCATAGTAGATTTAAAATTCTCAACCTTAAGAGTATTTGAATCTTTAAATTTAAATTTTTCTTTTGTGAAAATATGCCAAATTGATTAAATACATTATGTGAGCAAAATGAGGTATATATTCTCCTTGGCTATTTGTACTAGTTTATTTAGAAATTTTGCACCAGTTTAATGAAATTATTTTTCATCCAAGTTGAGGTTTTCTGTTGAAATATATCTATGCACACACACACACAGACATGCACATTTTCCCTCTCAGATTCAAAGGACAGTGTTATAAATGGCTCTCGGTCTTTGTCAGCTTGTCCCATTTCATTCAGCTTGGATGCCTGCCACATCCTGCTCTCTCAGGGTAGCACCAGCAGAAGGAATGAATAGCTATCTTTCCATTCAGATCTGGAAGTTATCTGACTGCTATTAACATTGGAGCAGAAGTGGCCATGGTATTTCATGGGCTCCCCTGGGGGCAAGATCCAAAGTTTGTGTAATCTAAACATCTCCCACTTTAACTTCTCACTGAGATGGAAGGCTCTGTGTAATCCCTGCTATTTATTGCTTTCCAGATTCCACTCTGTAAGCATCAATAGTTTATATTTCATCCAGTATTGCCAGCAAGCTGTAAGCTGAGTTAACAAATGTGTCGTGCAAGATATTTTCCAGCTTTTGACACAGCTCACCACCCGCAAATGAGTAAACGAGGCCAAAATGTTCAAGTCAGCTTCTCTTCAGCACAGAGATAAGGCGAGACACCTTTGGGTGTGAAATTCATAGTCCATTTCCCAAATGAATTTCTGCAACAGTGAATTCCCATATGTTGAAGTAAAACATAAATCATATGACAGGCAAGTACTACTTGCTCTGAATTACATTCATATAATAGCCCTCTATATAATAAACCTCCAGGTAGAATCAAATCCTTGGCATGCCTAATAAATAAGCTGGAAGGGAAGAAAAAAATAAAGCCTTTTCCTTTCTCCGCAGTTTAGCTTGTTTTATATGCATTGCCAGAAATGTGGCAAGTTGCAATTCAGTGCACACACCCTGCTAAGATTAATAGGTTTGAGAGAGAAGGAGAGGCACTACCATGCTTAACTTGCATGCCCAGGCAGCCCTGCTCTAAGAGCATGGTGCTGGCTCTGCCTGGTGCCACCAAACAGCCTGCTTTCTTTGCTGGGCCACCTCACTGTGCCCTGCCTGCTCTTACACAACCTTTCTCAAGGGTAAATCCTACACATGGTGGCATTTTTTATTGCTGCCTAAGCACTGGAAATAACAGTCATGGCCCCCAGTGCAACCAGCACTCTTCCATTCCTTCCTACTTTTACAGTGATGTGATCTCTGTATGGTGAAGTGCCATTTAGGCAGTCCTGTCAAGGGAAGAGTCTGTCAGATGACTGAGAAGGCTTGAAAGCACGTTCCTGCTTTGAAGCCATAGCTTTTGTGCTTTTTACTGCATCACTTCAGTCCAGGGAGCTTTGCTGCCAGCATTTCTGCCCCAGACCTGCTGCTGGTGCTCAGGGTGTGCAGTGCACTTCACCGTGCCCTCCCTATTGCCAAATGCAGCCTCCCCAAGGCATGCCCCAGTAGGGTGGCAGAGTTGGGAGGATAATGCCCTCAGCTAGGACTGTTGTACAGGGAGGGAGCTGTGCTGTGTGCACTTGACAGATGAGTGAGGAATATAAGGCAGAAAGGAGAAGCAGCAGTATGGGAGGTTAGGAGGTAGCAATGGGAAAGAAACGGTGTACTCATCATTTTAAAAATGGCTGCTTAAATACTACAAGTGGTTATCATCACACAGTTATCATATTAACCTGTTCTGTCACCCAGCTCCTCTCTCACTGGCCAAAATCAGCCTTATCATACACTCTACACATTGCTGGGCTGTGCAGTGGAGAAAGGGGGTGAAGTGAAGCTGGTGCCCAGCTGTGGTAAGGTGTCACACCTTTGACTCAGATCTCCAGCTCTGATGGCAAGTGTGAGGCTTAGCTGCTTGTAACTTGGTAAATAAGAATCTCCATGAGGCAATTCGAACTCTTCTCATTGCTAATGCTAATGTGAGCTGAGTGAATTAGCTGTGGGCTGCCCTGCTGCTGAATGTAGCCAGTGATAAATCTGAATTTTATTTAAAAAAAAAAAAATACAGAGGGAGCCTATTCATGTCCTGAAGATACAGGGCAGTGAAAGAGATGTCAAGACTATTTAATAAATGTTTTCTTGCACAGGCAATCTAGTGCTGCTATTTTACCTCTCATCTCCTTTCTTTTGCATGGAGAATTCCCAGGTTTTGTAGCACTGAGTTAGTGTAGAGTGAACCTGGGGAGACCAGGGGATTTAATGTTTGTAGGTGTGGGATTTGTTATCATTGCTCCTGAAAAAAACCAAACTGTGACAAGTTATTTCTTGCTGCCAGTCTGTGTTGTCAGCCAGCTCTGTGCCCCAGAGTGCAGCAGTTTCCCAGAACGAGTTTTATGCTCATGCTTCTTTGCCTTTTTCACATCATCATCATCACTTCCTTAGTTGTCTTTTCCAGTCTGCTTTCTCTGTTGCTCTTTTCTTAAGATAAATCTCTACTGTCAAAATTATGAAAGTTACCTGAGGGAAACTTGATTACAAGGGATGTGAAAAGAACTCAGAAGCGTGCATTTCATTTGCACGAGCTAAGGAAGTGAATGCCAACAGCCTGAGCATGTTTTCCATGGACTAAGGGTCCCAAATGGGCTAACCTTTCCTTTTCCTCTGTTTTCCTTTCAGGGTTTGACCATGAGTACCCAGCCACACACTGTGACCAAGGCAGAGATCCCTGGCCATGTTCTTTACACCGTAGGAACATGTGTGCTCATTATTGGCTCCATTGGCATCATTGGAAACCTCCTAGTCCTCTACGCATTTTACAGGTACAAAAATTCCTTTTGTGGTTGATCTGAGTGGTCTTGAGTTTCACCTGTGCCCATGTGCAGATTTCTGCATTGATTTCCACTTGGGTCAAATCTAATGGCAACAAATGAGAGGGGAAAGAGAGGAGAAGGCAACCCTACACGGATGAAAACACATCCATGTGCATCATTGACAACCTCAGTGTAAATTCCTGATGGTTTAAAGAATCAAATAAAATGAGAAAAAAATTGTTCTCTAAACAATTTCCAATTGAAAGTTTAAAGAATGGTTTAATACTTCTAATGATAGAAATGACAGTCTTGCAGCTGTAGACTTCTTCACTTACCCTGTAGCATTTGCACAAGTACTTGTCAAACAGTGACACTCTTCTCAGGAGCACAGTGGTCCTGAAAGGACCAAGAAGGGAATCTGCTACATGAAATGAGCTCATGCCACCAGTGTATTTCCTGCTTCAGGCAGATCATATAATTTCTGACAGTTTGTGTGCTCTCTTGGCAGAGAAATATGCAGCCAAAGCTATTGCAGCTAGAGTATGCAAAAATCTCATGGAAAAGGGAAACATTTGCCCTCTGTCCCACAATGCGATGATGGATTTCAAAATCCTCTGCATTCACTGCTTGCTGTCATTATGCGTGGTGATGCAGCAGGGCCTTACAATGCTAGAGACACCAGTGGGGTTATGAACCAAGCATTAATTTCCTATTCTTAAATGTTTAAGACAAATAAATTAGTTATTTTGAATAACCAGCTTCTAATGTGATTTAGAGAAAATTTATTCCCACAACTGTAGGTACCTTCATGACTTTTTAAAATGCAGCACAAGCTCTGTATTTTTCTTGAAATGTGTGTGGTTTATCTGGTGTAATAAAAGTATTAAATTGTCAAGGTAGGAATATCTGCATGGGCAGATTAGCACCTGGGAATGTATGAACTCTGCACTCTCTCTTACCTTGTTTTTGCAGACAGTTATGAGACCCAAGAATTTATTAGTATTGCAGCAGCACTGAGATGGCTTTCTCACTTTCTTTTTCAGTATTTATCATGAGGAAAGAAATTAATGGTAGCTGCAAATATCGATATTGCAAAGCACATCAGAAAGGTCTCAGTTGTTTTCCTTGGATAAGCTTTGCTTGGAGACCTCTGCTTCCACACTCCTTGCTGTGGTGTTTAATGTTGCCTGTTCATCTGCAACTGATAGGTTTCATTCTCTCTTATGAGATGTATATAAGCAAAAGCACTTTCTCCAAATCTCTGTGTGCTCTGCTCGTGCTGTAGCACTTTGCAAAAGGTCATTTAGCTAGTGGTGTGTCAACCACTTCAGGCCAACTGTGTCAACACACCACCTCAGATCAGCAGTTTTTAAAATGTCACCAGAAGCAGATCCTTTGGCTCTGTAACTTTCTTCAGATGTTCCTCATGCACAGTCCAAGGCACAATCAATATCACAGCACTCCTAGGAAACTGCTCTTCTGAACAAATCCATATTTATCAAGACAGCTGAAACTCTCCTTAGCTTGAAAAGGAAACAATCTATTTTATGGCTCCTGGTCTTTTCAATCATTTGGAAATGACTACAGCTGTAGCTGCAGTAATTGACTGATGATTAGCAATTGATTTACTGCAAGTAACCATTGATTTCAACCTGGACAGTATTTGTTTTTGCTAGTAAGCAAAGTAACTTTATAACTTCCCACTTTGTCATTTTAAAACTATGTATTTCTCATGTTTTTAAGCAACAAGAAGCTGAGGACTCCCCAAAACTACTTTATAATGAATTTAGCTGTGAGCGACTTCCTGATGTCGGCTTCTCAGGCACCCATGTGCTTTGTCAACAGCTTGCACAGAGAATGGATACTTGGAGACATAGGTACTTTTCACACTGATTCATACCTCACCAGCTTTGTGCTGCCTGCACCCTGTTTCAGCCACAACAGCCTTGGCTTGTGCCATGGCTGGAGCAGCACAAATCTCTTGATTCACAGCCCCAAACATTGTCAGTCAGTGTGATGTCACGTGTTTTGTATTACAGCTGTGATTTCTTTATCTTACATATTTTGGAAAGGAAGGAACCAAGATCCACATGTAATCATGTCACTCTTTAGCTTGTAAGGGAGGTATTATGACTGAAAATAGGTTGAAAAGTTTTAGTAAGTTGTAAGTATTATTTCTGATAGTTAATATTTTATTTAGAAATGTATGTTGATATATATGCTTCTAGGAATCTCATATTTAATTAAGAGATTTAAATAACAGTCCGTAATTTGAGGACTCGGCAAATTCAAGCTCCTTTTATTCTGACTGAAAGAAAGAAAAGGTGATCTGTGTTGAAATTAAGGCTGAAATGTGGGTATAGCAAGAACCTCAGAAGGCTCAATGCTGGTTGCTGCTCTTCATCATTTATGGATGAAAACTTGCACCCACTGGTGGCTGTACAGTGGTGGAGCAAGCCCAGAGACCATGTACTGTTCAGCAGCACAGAAGGGACTCTGCCTTAGTTTGAAGATATTTTTAGTCTTGCTTACCCCCTTAGATAAAATCAGTGCAAATTACCATGCTGTCACAAATGAAGCATTTGATCTGGGTTGAGTAGGATTTGGTCCTTGGTTGCAAGTTACTTGTATAGACTGTAGAATTCTGCTATAAGGTTGGATCTGGTGTTTTTGCTGCCTGTCACTCCTGGTGGGGTCTTGTTTATAACCACATGGGCCAATGCAAGATTTTAAAAAATGGATGATCTTTCCACAGGTTGCTCCATTAAATTCAGTGTAACTTTTTCCATCTGGTAGTGTAGTGCCTGAATGCAGTGGGGGTTAAGAGGCCTGTTTCATGTAAAAAATGTCAGTTCTTTTAAAAAGTACTGCCATTAAATATGGGAATTGGAACTATGTTTTACAGTTGGTCTCTCAGTCATCAAATTCAAACAATTTCTGCATTTTTATGCCACATAAACCAAAGTAATTTCTTGAACCACTCATCCATCATTAACAGACAGATGTCTGCTGCAGCATGTTAAGATCGATATATTGGGCAACAGTCCAGGAAAATATAACTTTAATTAGATTGGATTTTCTTTGAGGCAGTTTTCCATTGACAAAACATTCTCAGCTGCAGCCTGCAGTGAAGTAGGACTTGTTTAAATACATATATTTGTATTTTATGTATATTTATGCTTTTCTAATAAACACTAACTATGAAAATGTGAAGCTGAGAAAAATGCTTCTATTGAGAGAGAAGACCTGAGCAGGGAAAAAACAGGGAGATTTATTACGATGAGTTCTGAGAGAAAGCATGGCTCTTTTCAAGAAAGCCCCTGACATTGCCATTTCCTTCTCCAGGCTGTAACCTGTATGCATTCTGCGGGGCTCTCTTTGGGATAACCTCGATGATGACTCTGCTGGCCATCTCTGTGGACCGCTACCTGGTGATCACAAAGCCCCTGCAGTCCATTCAGTGGACTTCCAAGAGACGCACCGTGCAGATCATCGCCCTGGTGTGGCTCTACTCGCTGGGATGGAGCGTGGCTCCGCTCCTCGGCTGGAGTATGTTGTCTCTCTCTCTCTCCAGGCATTCCCTGTGTGCTCTTTTTAGTCTTGCTTGGGGTGTAAAAAAATGAGTTCGCTCATCAGTCATCATGAGGATGCCCTGCCACCACCCGATGGTTTGTTGTTGTAGCACACATCTGCACCTACTGCACTGCACGAACCTCTGCCCCCCTACACCCAGGGTGTGTTAAAGCAGAACAACTTATTGCTTTGGAGTATTAGGTGTGTACCTTCCTTAGAGTTCTGTAGTCAGGACCTCCTCTCCATGTGGGCACTCACTTCTCAGACCTCATATATGATGTGTACTTTGGCTGGCACTTGAAGGCCACAGATAAACCCACAGACAGGGTTTATTTCAATCACTTAGTGGCTGGATCAGCACCTGCTCTAACTTTGGGTGTGTGTGTGAATAATGTGTTCCATGTATTCCATAGGTTCCTATGTGCCTGAGGGCTTGATGATATCCTGCACATGGGACTATGTAACCTACTCCCCTGCAAACAGAAGCTACACAATGATTTTATGCTGCTGTGTGTTTTTTATTCCCCTGGTAATAATATTCCACTGCTATTTATCGATGTTCCTGGCCATAAGGCGTACTGGCAGGTAAGTAATCTAGCTGAAAGAAGTACATATCCCTTTTTGTGTAACAAGAGATTTTCTCAGTTTCTTTAGCTGCAGAAAAATCTGAATTAAAAATTAGTCTGAATTGGAATTGACAGCTGTAACAGGAGAACTATTTTTTGCCAATTTAAAACTGGAATGGATGTACGAATTTCAGAGACAAACAAGTCTCTGGTGGTTCTAATTTTATTCCACTGTAGTAATTAATAGTATGTCAAACACTTGGATTGAGTTATTTGCATTTCAGATTTGCACTACAAGAAACAATGTCCTTGTGTATTCCAGCAGTTTTCAGCCTCAAGGGATAATAAAAAACATGTAGCAATGGGAGAATCATCTGTCTTTGAGGAGCTCTGTAAACAAAACAGTCCTCATATTTTTTGACAGTTTTATTTAAGGCAAGCATCCCAAAAACCATTGTGCTTCACTCAAGCATCACAACTACATGCACAATATTTGGCTATGCTTACTAATATATTTTTCCCCCAAAAAATTTTGGCCTCTATTTGAAATGAAAAATCAGCAGGGTGTTAGATCTGTAAACTAACATCATTCTTTTGGTTATTTTTGTGCTAATGAGCACATGGCTTATCTTTGGTCCAATCCAACACCAGCTGGTGCTGTGAGTCCTTCCTGCTGCTCAACTGTGTCATCAGTTCTGATGGCTTTTCTCTGCTCGTGTGTGCAGGCACTTGCTGAAATCATTTGGCTTCATAAGCCTAAATTCCACTTTTATAAAATAAAAACATTTATATATGCCTAAAATGAAGTTCTTTCTGACCTCTAGTTTTGGCCCTTGTCTTGGTTTTTATTGTGCTTTGTGTATGAATACTTGATAGCAAGCAAAGGAATGCATCCTTACAATAATGGTGCTTTGTACACCCACGGAGCACAGTGGACATAAGGTTTTTCTATGCCTTTTGCAAGGCCAGGCTGGATGGAGCTTTGAGCACCCTGGTCTAGCTGGAGGTCCCTGGTCATGGCAGGCATAGGGACTAGATGGTCTTTATGCTCCCTTCCAACCCAGGCCATTCTGTGTTTCTTTGATTCTGTTCTATATTTACAGTGTGCCAGCAGGGACTTTGTTACCCTTCTGGCTGGTAATCAATGTCTTCAGCCTGAAATATATCTCCATTTAACAACACTAATATGTAAAATGTGTTATTTCTATGCTAAAGAATATAAAATGCCTACCTATAGAAAACATTTAAAATAAAATGTGGGGTGTTCGGTGTGAGAAGAGAATTTGATTTTTCATTACAAAAATATTAGGACTGCCTGTTGTACCTCCCACTGAAAATACTCTTGAAAAAATAAATCCGCTGGTAAGTAAAAATGTTCTTGTAAGTGTTTGGGACAGGTTTCTCAAAGCTGTCAGGGTATTCCAGCATGTGTTACCTCATGAATTGGAATTTCTGCAAGCTGTTCCTCTCTCGAAAAGGAAAAGACATAAGACTTGATTTTGCTATCCAGCTGTGCCTTTTCTTGCTCCACCTCTAAAAGCAACACTGGGCAAGAGATACCAGTTTCTGTATCTTTGCAACCTGAAACCCTCCTTGTGTTCGGGATAAGGACACAGTAGTCCTATCCCAGGGATTCTGGCTCAGTCTTACAGGCAAACACAACACTTGAAACCACATTAATTACCTTCTAGGGTTTTTAAATATCAGAGGAGAAAAGAATAGTTAGAGAGGTGAAATAAGAAATTTTCTTCATTTTGCATGTTGCTGAGAACATATTAGAGATATTACTTTTTTCATTGTCCTGCTGAAATATCTGTATTTTTCCCCCCTTACAGAGATGTTGAAAAGCTGGGATCCTGCAGCCGGAAATCCTACCTCTCTCAGTCCATGAAGAATGAGTGGAAGCTGGCAAAAATTGCTTTTGTGGTCATCATTGTGTTTGTCTTGTCCTGGTCTCCATATGCTTGTGTCACCTTAATTGCCTGGGCAGGGTAAGTGGAAGAGCAATCCAAGCAGCAGGGGTTAAGCAAATAAGATTAGTACTGTCATCCACATGAGGCAAATCTTCTTTTTGAATGGGTCTTAAATAATTACTGCGTTAGAGGTGATATTTATTCACCATATATCCTTGTGAATAAAGCAGAAAAGGGATTATTTGTCTATGCATTTTGTAACTATTATGACTTTTTAGTCTTAATATTTGGTACACAATGTTTTCTCTCTCACATGATGCTTTCTTTGTGTAAATTGGAGTTATATCCTTTATCTCCTAGTACCCTCCTTCGTTCCATACGCTGTTGTCTCCTCCACCCATTTTCTGCTCCAAAGGGACCTGGTGTGCTGTCAATGCATGTTCTACTCTTCAAGGCTAGGTTGGATGGGGCCTTGAGCAAGTTCATCTAGTGAAAGATGCCCTTGCCCATGGCAGAGAGGTTGGGCTGGATGATCTTTAAGGTGTCTTCCAACCCAAACCATTCTGTGATACCATGATATTGACTGTGCTTATGCTGCACTGACATTGGTCACACCTGACTGACTGTGGGAGCTTAACGTCTAAAGGGGAATATTGGGTTTCAAACCACTTCCAGACCTCTCTTGCTTCTACAATGTTTGGAACTGAGTCACTAACACACATTTTTGTGCAGCACACATGCTGCTGCTGAAAAATTTTTCAGGTTTGATTCTGTTTTCTTTTCTATCACCATTCACTTTTCCCATATGGCCACACTGGGAGTTCTTCTGTTGGGGTTTTGGGCTTCTTTATTTTTGTCTACTGCAGAAACAGGTAAGGTGATTCTTTTGTCCCTAGTCATCCTAAAATTACTTGCTGCATGTCTTTGGTCTTCTTTAAATGAATGAAACCAAGTACATGCTATCAAATTCAAACCTTTCCTCTGAGCAAAGAAATCACTGAAATGAATCAACTTTACATGTGTATTTCCTATAAAAAGATATTAGCGCAAAACCAATTTTAAAGAGTAATATGTTTTAGTAATGTAGTATCTATGTAATCCATGACATAGCTGTGTGTAATGTTTTTGCTTTGTTTTAGTCGAGGCAACAGCCTAACACCATATTCCAAATCTGTGCCAGCAGTTATTGCCAAAGCTTCTGCAATCTACAACCCCATCATTTATGCAATAATTCACCCAAGATACAGGTACAGTAAATATATAGGTATGTGTATAACTGTACGTGCAAATGTTGATCTTTTACACAGAACAAACTACCCTCGTTCCTTCAGCCTCACCTGTGCACTGCATGTTCCATGTTCCTGTGCTGACCAGGCTGTGATGGGCTCCCAGTGGTCAGACCCAACTGGTACATGGCAGCTCCAGATATGGCCTGGGGAGTGGCCAAAAGAGAGCAGTCCCTCCCTTCACCTTTCCTCTCCCTCAAGAGTCCTGCTCTGCCCTGTGGGGCTGCACAACACCGTGACTGACAGGAGGAGAAGATGATGCTCAGGTCATCTTTCATCATACAAGAGACAGCCAATACAGAGAACTGTCTAGAGAAAAAATTCCAACCAGTGAGGCTCCAAAAATCACATTCTTACCAATTTTAGCAGCTTATGCAATTTATGCATATGTTCAAGGTTTGGTTTTCTGAAGCATTTTTTCACAAAAAAATTTGGGACACTGGCAGCAAAAACTACTTTATTATACCAAGGGGATATACTTGTTACAGAACTGCTATCCTGCATACCTGTAGAATTTTTTGCAAGTCTTTCAAAGCGTAGTTACCACTAAGCGATGCTGGTTCAAAAGTTCTGAGAAAATACAGGGATGCCATGGTGGTAAGTGTGATTAATGTATAAATACCACTAGATGGCAGGGTTAGTCATTGGTATGAGGCTTGTTTCACCCAAGAAGTGGAAAAGCTAGTAAATTCCATTGCCTGTCAACTCAGGACTTGGGATCTGGAAATTGAGTTCATTGTTTAGGACGTCTGATGGATGACGGTGTGGTTGTAAGAAAAGTGAAGGTTTCTCAGAAGGCTGGTCGAAACACACCCAAAAAGGGTGAAAACCTTTCACCCTATGATTCTATAGAAGCATAGAATGGTTTGGGTTGGAAGGCAGGCACCTTAAGTATCATCAAGTTCTCACTACCTGCCACAGGAAGGAACACCTTCCAGAAGACCAGGTTGTGCAAAACCCCATTCAACCTGGCCTTGAACATTTCCAGGGATGGGATATCCACAGCTTCTTTAGGCAGCCTGTTCCTGATCCTCACCAGCATCACAATAACTTTCTTCCTAATATCCAATCTAAACCTTCCCTCATTCTGTTTGAAGCCATTCTCCCTTGTCCTATCCCTACATGCCCTTGTGAGAAATACTTCAGCTTTCCTGTAGCCCTCATTCAGGCACTGCAAAGTGCTGTAAGGTGTATCCACAGCCTTCTCTTCTCCTGGCTGAGCAGCCCAACTCCCTCAGCCTATCTGCAGAGGAGAGGTGCTCCAGCCTTTTGGTTATCTTCACAGCCTCCTCTGGAATTGCTACTACAGGTCCATGTCCTACCTGTGCTGGGAGCCCAGAGCTGGTGCAGCCCTGCAGGTGGGGTCTCACCAGAGCACAGCAGAGAGGCAGAATCCCCTCCCTCCCCTGCTGCCCACGCTGCTTTGGATGAGGACATGATCCAGGACACGTTTGGCTCTCTGGGCTGTGAGTTCCCATGGCTGGGTCATGCCCAGCCTCTCACCCACCAGCACCCCCAAGTCCTTCTGGGCAGGGCTGCTCCCAGTCCATGCTCTGCCCAGCCTGTGTTTGTGCTTGGGATTGCCCTGACCCACACACAGCACCTTGCACTTGGCCTTGTTGAACTTCCTGAGGTTCCTGTGGGCTCCCCTCTCCAGCCTGTCCAGGTCCCTCTGGATGCCATCCCTCCCTCCAGGGTGGCAGCCACACCCCACAGCTTGGTGTCATCACCAAACCTGCTGAGGGTGCTCCCAATCCCACTGTCCCTGTCACCGACAGCGATGTTAAACAGGGCTGGTACCAACTCCCACCCCTGAGGTCACCACTCTCACTGAGTTCCACCTGGACACTGAGCCAATGACCACAACTCTTTGAGTGTGGCCACCCAGACAGCTCATTTTCCACCAAGCAGTTCATCTGTCAAATCCCTATTTCTCCATTTTGGAGACATATTTTGTTTGAAAACGTCTGCTATCATAACTAACACCTTTTTGCATCATCCAAAAACCATCTGAGTTTTTTGAAATCTGCAGAGCATTTTAGTTTAGAGTTGGAGAATGCCCAGTTTGGTTGCAGAAGTTCAATGAGAAGTTTTGATGGCTGCCTGCTGTGTTTAGGACCCATTATTTGTTTCTGAACAATAATTTGTTCAGAAACAAAAAGTTACTGTGTTCAGATTATTATTTTTGAAAGCAACAGGTTACGCAGAGAAGCTGTGGATGGTTCCCTGGAAGTATTCAAGGCCAGGCTGGATAGGGCTTTGAGCAATCTGGTCTAGTGGAAGGTGCCCCTCCCCATGGCATCAGGCTTGGAACTGGATGGTCTTTAAGGTTCCTTCAAGATCCCTTCCATCCCACACCATCCTATGGTTCTCTGGTAGTGAACTGCTTCAGTCAGACTTTTTCCTATCAGCAGTGGCTTCTTAAGACTGTTAAGGAAAAGACTGGAGTCCACAACAACAACTTTCAGACATTTTCTTTATAAGTATCTTGTTTTTATCTGTTTTTTTTTTTTCCCTGCTTTCTAATGTGTATTTCTAGGCACATCAACAAGAGAAATTTTTATGGATTTGTGAAGACATTTCATGCATTTGGGAGCAATCCAGTCAGGAAAAGAAGTAATGTTGTTGGGTCCCTTGTGGTGAATCAAGTATGCAGTTTCAAAACTGAAAAAACCTTACAGTACACTAATAAGTCAGTTGGTAAAAATATGTTGGCAGGACCAATTTTGCTTCAACAGTGAATAATGAATAGATATATGTTAAGGTTATTGTTTCTGGATAATTTCCAAATCTTCTAATTATTCACATTATGCCTTGAAAATAATTTATTCAAGCACAGATAAATGGGCCAGTCTGTTCAGGCCAAAGGGTTAAGGGTTTGAGCAGGGAAAAATTTGTCATTTTATATTGGAACTACTGAACGAAATTACATCTAAGTTATTTTCCAAATCTTTCTAGAAAGAGGCATCCAGAAATCAGGATCAAGAGTGTTCAAATCCAGCTCAATCCCTGAGCAAAACAAGATGCTTTTTTGCACAGAGAATTCCTGTCACTGCACATCTTAAAATCCCAACAAAACCAAGCCTTTTTCTGGGGTTTCCTTACCTTAAACAACGGAGAAAAAAAAAGTACATTATAGTGAATGTAACTGAAAATGTAACAGTGACCTTTGTGCTAGCACTTGGCTTCTAAGAACTGGTTTGAGAGTTTGTTATATTCCTCCTCATCTACCCACCCCCCTGCCCACTCATTTCCTACCCACAGAAAGGAGAATAACACCTCTCCTTAACAGGACTCACAGGAGCAAACAAATGTGAGGAATGTAATCAAAGTTTTAATTTGTGAAATGCTCTTTGTGGGGAAGAAAGCTGTCACATCTTTAACAACTTGTGTGTTGTCTCTATGTTCCACAAGAACTCTAACACATTGCTGTGTTAGAGTTATTGCAGAAACTCCCTTACATTTTGGAAGTTTTATGTTTTGGAGTCATTCTTTCATAGCAAACAGGAAATTCTGCAGCTCCTTGTTTCCAGCTGGCTCCCAGGCAAAGCAGAATTGCACAAAAAATATTGGTTCAAAACTCCTACATCATAAATAATGAGTAATCACAAATAACTGAGTTGCAGTATTTTTTTAAAGTTGCTTGCAATTACTATATTACTCTTACTATTTAAGAGTCACTTTAGGTGACTCTTTTATTTCAGATTATAGGAATATCATTAAATAAGTACCTCAGTTTATGCCTTTTTTTTTTCACACTTACAATATTAAAACTCCCTTCAAAATCTGTACTTTCATCCCAACCAGCAAAATGTCCCTCAATACTCCTCCCAAATATTAGTGAAATAGAAATTCTGGTCCCTCAAGACCCTCAGAAATGTTCATATGTTTTCCTTGAAAATTCACCATCAGACATGTATTTCCTGCATCTCCATCATTAGGAGACCTCTGTGCCGAACCCCATTTAATAAATGGGATGGTGTGTTTTACATACCATGAATTTGAATTTGTCAGAGGGAAATAGTTTAGCTTAGCTGGGGATAAAAGCTGGTAGCTGCTTTTCAGCACCAGACTGACATCTTCAGCCTGAAAGGAAATTCATGGGGGCTTGACATTTTCTCGTGTCCTGTAAACCATTTCTCAGGGCCCTTTATTTTGTGCACAGCATTAACCATCTTTTTTTACCCAGCACCATGTGAGCAGCTTTCTGCCCCAAGCTGTTCAGTGAGCCCTGCCTGGTCACCGACAGGCATCTGGGCAGGATCAGGAATGATGGTGCAGGCAGCTTTTTCCAGTCCTCATCTCCAGAGCAGACACAGAGCTGCTGTTCACTTGCCTTTGAAACTACAGAGGAAAGAGAGGCAGAACTATTCAGAGTGTGGTGATGATGCCAAATATTGAGGTTTGGGGGTGGTGGATTTCTTTTTTGGATCACAAACAAGTGACCTCATTTCATGATGCCAGAATCATGTCTCTTAAATTTTAACATGAGTGATCTTTTGTGAGAATAGAAATTATGATTTTAAATGTCCTGATTATTCAACAGCCCTGGTAACTATAGAAGCAAAAGACTGCAACATACATCTGCTTGACCTGCATCTCAGTGTAAAGTCAATGTACTGACATCCCCCAGTGATCCCCTGCATCAGTTCCTTGCCATATGCCTTGTTGCTGCCTCACTTTTTGACCTGTTAATTTTTTTTTTTTTTTTGTGCCCATTAGCTTCATCTGTTGGGCTTAAATAATGGATTGAGAAGTGCTGGGGAGGTGTTACACCAAATGAAGCGTTCTGACTAGCATTGCCCTGTGAAGAGAAAGGCCAGCTGGCATTGCCTAGGGGAGGCTCTTGGACACTTCTGCTCCCTGTAGGGGCACGGTTGGGGTCAGGAGAAATAGACTCACACAATCATGACTGAGATTATTATTTAATGAATAAGGCAGATTTGGGGTCTAGACCATCCTTCTCCTCAATGCTTGTACAGTGTTAATTTTCAATAGGAGTTTACAGTAGCTGTCATGATACAAATAATTAACAACATCTGATTCTTCTGACCCTCTTCCTCTTCCCTCATTTCCACTCATTCTGTGTTTTTGCACAGTAAAGACCTTTGTACCAACTAGCCTGAAATTTTCTGGGTTAGCATTTTAAATAAACCATATGCAATCATGCTCTTCAAGATATTTTAAATTCTTATCATTTACCTCTGCAGCTTTTCTGTGTGTGTTTTGACACAAGGCCCAGAAGGACCTGTTATTTTCTTTTCTGCCTGTTGAGTTGTTTGCACTAGCTACCATGCTGTTTGTATGTAATCTCTAAGACCCCCTTTATCAAAACAGAAGCTGTGTTGATGTGATGGAAAGAGACAAAATTTTCACCCCATGAATTTCAAAGCCATGTCTTCAGTGTGACAGATTTGGCTTTTTTTTCTTCTCACATTTTCCCTCAGGAAAACCATCCACAGAGCTGTTCCCTGCTTGAGGTTCCTGATACGAATATCGAAGAATGACCTCCTGAGGGGATCCATAAATGAGTCATCCTTCAGGACCTCTCTCTGCAGCCACCACTCTCTTGCTGGCAGGACCAAGAGCACTTGTGTTTCCTCTGTTTCTACTGGAGAAGCTGTAAGCCTTTTCTTGTTTCCATGAAAGAAAAAGAGTATAACATTTCTCACACTCTAAATAAACAACACTAGAAATACATATTCAAAATTAGAGAACAGAAACAGGGAAGGGGGAGAGTGTAGCTAAATTTTTTGGTCATGTAAGGTCATTTCTGCAAAGCTGGAAGTTCATGGATGATGATTTACGATCATAAAAAGCATTCAGGCCAGCATATCTGTGTGGTTCTGATGCCTGCTGGGACTAAGGATGTTCAGATTACGTCTTTAATGTGTACTAAAAAGAGCCATTGTCAGGCACTGCCTGTGTCACCAACCACTGGCCATGTTAGGTATCTTGATGGCCTGGAGGACAAGAAAGCAATCTTCCATCCAAAGTTTTATAACTTATCCAAAAGCTCTCTTATTATTTTAGAATAAGTCCATTTTCTGTAGGATGGGAAATTTTTGACTTCTTTACCTGGACTTTAACCATGAGGAGTGAAAGGTTCCTGCCTCTAGAGCCTGGTGGGGTGTTTTGTAGGAACATACCCCAGGCATCAGTAAGGATGGTGACCAAGTGAGACAGAAACCAAAGAATCCCTTGACGCTCTTCACAGCCTCTCAGTCACAAGAAGCTGGCCTTGCCTGCAGAGGTGCTGGGAAAGTGGCTCCTCAGGGGGATGGCAGCCACAGCAAAATCTGGGCTGGGGCTGGCCCTCCTGGGGATCTGTGCTGCTCCCCCTCAGTTTGGGCATGAGAAACCTCTCAGAACTGCCACCAGTAACCTCTCCAGTCACCAGTAACAAAATTAGAAATTCTAGGTATAGCTTTTATACTTTTATAAACACCTTTATGTATAAAAACCTAATTTTTCTCCCATTGCTCCTTTGTTTGATGCCAAATGAAATAATTTCAGCTGCATCATCCTGATCCAAGAAGCTTTCTGTTCCTCACTGTTGGTCACTACTCGGCTTTGGTTTGTTCATGTTAGCAGGTCATTGCATGTATTTTGATGTGGGAGCTGCTTAAATAGACAGGACAATGAGGGTAAGAGGCTTCAGCTTTTGGCACAGTTTTGGCTTAGGAGTCTCTTTTAAAGCTCCTGCTGTTAGCAGTGCACAGCACTGTGCTGGGCTGAGTCGATGCAGCCAAAGGCAATTGTCCTTTGGGGCAACTGACAGCTCAGTTCAGCAGCTGTAGAAGTTTTAGCTGAAACAGCAGCTGCTGAAATAAAAGCTAAGCTTGATGACTTTGGCATGACAGCAGGACTGACTGAAATTTTTGAATGCTTCTATAAAACATTGATGATCAAGAAATGACACCAGGAACACTGTAAAAGATGCAGCTGTTGCCACCAACATTTTCTTCTGTGTGTTGTGTACATGTTAGTGAAGGGAACAAACATATTTGTGATTCATGTCTAGGAATGTTTCATCCAAGGAGTTTTATTCAACAGGTAAGGGGAAATAAACAGGTGACCACACACAGATGTACGAGCAAGGTGATGCAGAGGAATTATGCACTATCTTCCCATTTGTGTGGAACCCTGTCTGTCTGCCTGTCTGTCCATATCTAAAAGCTGGTGTTGGAGTGGAATGATCTCATCATTGATACTCAATCAAAAAGTCACCACAAAGTAAGAGATAACAGACAGCCTCACCCCAAGCCTGTAAAGGGAACAGCACTTTTGCAATGTCCCATTTGTGCTTCATTACTGACATACTCTAAGAAAACTAGAGCAAAGCCCACCCACAGTCTCCCATGTACCAATGAAGGTTTGTAAAATCAGCAAGCTCATGCAGATTGAGAAGCCCTTGGTGTTCTGGATATTCTGCTGGGATGTATGCAGACATGGTTTTGGATCTGTTCGTGTCCAGGGTTTTGTATCAACTAGTGGTCACACAGAATGCCACAAGACATATTAAACAGATTGATTGTATTGGCTCCCATCTTTAGAATTCAGATGCTCTGCAGGTATAAGTGTAGCATAAGCAATGAGATAAAAAAGGGTGGAAAACATTCTGGTGTTTAAATAAACTTTCATTGTTTCCAAGTTAGTTTTATTTTTGGTCAGCAAGCAAAATAGTCCAGGGTAAGTGACAAGACTGAAAATAAAGCCTCTCCCCAGGGGAGTTGTGAGTGTGAGACCTATGTTAGAATGGCTTTACTTTTCTGTGAATGTGCATGGGTTTTGCTAGAGTTTGAGAACTTACAAGAATTTCAGAAAGCATGCAACTGTCTGAAATCCTTTATCAATTTGTGATTAGACCTGGAGCAATGTAGAGCTCAACCCTGTGGAGCCAGCTCAAGAGAAACTGAAGCCTCGCCGAAGTCATTCTTTCTCCACAGGTGTGAGACAAGAGAAGAGAGACCTGCTCCCAAAGACCTGCAGCTATGATGCAGCCACTGCCCCAAAGGTATGGAAAAAAGTCTCAGCTGAGGACTCTCCATTATATGGAGTCTAAGTTGCTAGTCTTGCTGCAGGACATCATCTCTGGAATGATAATTCAGCCTTTGCCCATCTATTTCATCTATGGGCCTTATTTATAGTGATTCCAACATCCTCCTTCTACTTGCTGGGGTTTTGTTTGTGGTTCGTTTTTTTTTTTTTCATGTCTCAGTGTGACAAGTGAGAGTGCCAGTAATGCCTAATTAACTTTTTTCATTGATATTTGCCTGTTTTTGGAAAGCCAGCTGTGCTTATAGCTCTGAAGCTGCATTAAGGCATAGGCAATAGCATCAGATGGAAGAAGATTAGTTCTTTGCCCGTTTATCTACCTCAGCTTTGGTTCCTTCCATCGTGGTCCTTGTGTCCATACTGTGGTAGTCTCCTTTTAGAGTAAAGACAAGTCTGCAAAACAGATTTTGACATGATAGACGCCACCCTTTTCTTTCTTTTCAGTGTACATTAAAATGTTTTATTTTTGTTGAGGGGGAAGATGAGAAAGAAACTCCCATTTCTCCCTAAGAGTGGGAGAATCTGGCAGCTGCCACCCTTCCCTCACTGAAAGAGCAGATGGCGAGTACTCAGTGCATCCTCTGTGGATGCATCACCCTCGTTGGCCAAACCACTGAGGTTTGATGCCCTGTTGTTGAGGAGCACCCTATTCCCTGATGGGAGCAGTAGGTCACCCATGAGTCAGCTTCTGCCACATTGTAACACCAGTGTCCAAATGAGTTTTTGTGTGGATGTCACAGTGTCAGGCATACACCAGTGCTGTCTTCTCAGGGAAAGACTGATGTGGCTTACAATCCCCTGTATGTGCCTGGACTGAGTAGCACCCCATTTTTTGAGGGGCACCCTTTCATGGGGTTACTCTAGTGCATGTAGACAAACACCCACACCTTGGGCAGCTACAGCATCTGCTTCTGTCTCCTGTGCTCCCTTGCAGATTTGATGGTAATTGTCTAGAGACAGCATAGTTTAAAGCAGGAACTGCTCTGAAAATTTCCAGCCACCCCATCACCCAATTCCTGCATGCCTCTGTCCTGTCTTCTTTCATGTGTGTCATTAAGATCAAGTCCTGAGAAACCTTGTTCTTTTCCTGTAACTATTGTGAACAGTATTGGAGGAAAAAACAGCAGCTTCAAATATGATGTCAGACAGCATGGGTTCAAATCTCTTAATTAGTTTTGCTGCCTTCTGTCAGCAGCCAGATGTGTCCAAGGTTATAGGCAAGTGGCAAAGGATATTGTCTCCAGGTTCTGGAGAATCACTGGCTTTCTGTCTCTCAAGGAAGGAGACGGGAAGTAAACCTCAGGTGGTCTGCATGAACAGTTCAGCAATAAAAAAAAAAAAAATCTGTGTCTGGAGTTTAGCAATTGTGTAGCCTACAAGAAGGCTCATGTGCTATACTTTGCCTTTGAAAGACATTTCTTGAATTACTTTGATAAATAACCCTTTAGACTTTCAGTGGCATTCACTGAGCTAGGAGTTTATTTACACTGAATGTTTGCATTGAATGTTCAAAGCCTCATTTGCTTCTCTTACTGTTTCCAGCAGAGACTCCTGTGTGTTGTATAGATCCTTTGTGTGTTCATTGTAGCTCAGTGCAATGCATTGCTATTCATGCTATCAGAGTAAATATTTATTTGTCAAGCTCAGTTACAGTGTTTCACAATAAGACCACCCATTTATCCTTAAAAAACAAAACTCCAACAAACACTAAAGAAGCACCAATGCATTTTTAAAATATTTATTTTAAGGTTTTAATAGCATTACTGGATTGTCTTTGACTGAATTCCAATTAGAGTACTTCTAAAAACACTCAGTTGTGGACAAGCCAGTCAGTGTCCCAGGTTTGGTGCATTCCAAAGCATAAAAATGCATGTGACTGTTTTCTGTGCTGCCACAAAGATATGTTCCAGCCCCATGACTGACTTCAGTTATGATACTAACAAACTTGATGAAAGCTAACACCTGGAAATTTAACATGGCAGTGAAGAGGCTTTTCTGGAAGTATTAAAATGGGAGTTTGGATACTTGATTTCAAAAAAGAGAGATCAAATGTCTCCTCTGCAATCGGGTTTTGTTTCAAGGGGATTACCCGATGTCAAAGCTATTAAAAAATCTTGTAAGTGGGTGTTGTGCCTACCCAAGCCACATCCAAAAGAAGCCTGTCGTTCTGTTGCAGTGTAAACAGCGCTTGAAACAGGAAGGAGCAGTTTTGGAGTTTGGATTTTTTCATTCTATTATTATCTTTCATACGGAAGAATGGACTTTTCTTCTCTCACACTGATTTAAACCATTTTTTTTAGCCCAGTATGCTTCCCTCCACTTGGTAGATACAGCAGCTGGAGAAATCATTATCAATGGGGATTTGTGAATGATTCCTGCTTGTGGAGTAGAATGACACAGAACTATGGGAATTCACATGGAAATGAAGTAAAACCTGCACTTTACTTTAAATATTGGTTTTCCCTAGAAAGTAGGGACTTTCCAGTTTCTCTCTCCACCTGACACAGTGGTTTTATCACCTTGATTGTCATTTTTTTAAAGAAGCCCAAATTAATTACTTATGCTTCCCTTGCCTGTGTATTTGAATATTAACTGATGCTTTCAAAGCTTACTTAATTGACTCAGAATTGCATACTGTGCACAAGACTTATGGAAGGAACACAGAGCCCTTGCCATCAGAGCCAAGTTAGAAATCTGAATTCTCTCAAAATAGATACGAAATTGTTTGCAAAGAAAGTCTTTATTGCTTATTTTTTGGAGGAAGCACTTTCCAATGCGTGAATGCAAGGCCACCAACTTCCCTGAATTAGTATCAGGAGCCTTGGGGAGAGACAGAGATTGTCACAAGGTTGACAAAACTTTAGGAGAATAAAGAATGAAATGTACTTGAGTCTTATCTGAGATCTCTTCCATGAAAAGAGAGAGAAGTGCAATTATCTAGTACTCTGATACCATAAGATCTGTTAAAAGTGAAGTAATACCATTTCATTAATGATTAAATAAGTCAGATACAACCATGAGTTTTTGTTTTCTTCTTTTTTCTTCTTTTCAGCCTCTGCTGATATTTGAGTACATCTTATTTTGTTCTGTTTAATGTTCTGCTTTCCAAGCAGTACGTGCTAGCACATCATGATTTTCCTTCAAGTTAATGATTCAAGTATTTAGAAAATTTGGCTTGTGGCTCAAATATTGTCTAGTGGCAGTGAATATTCCAAACACTGTTTTCCACAGCCCTACGGTGTCTGACAATGCTAAATCTTATGTCTTTGCTCCAGGTTTCACTCTCCTCCAGTTCTTTGGAGAAGGTACTTGGGCAGCCTGTCCTACCCAGTCCCTCTGCAGCACTCATGACCAGCTCCCTGAGAGCTGCTTCTCTGCCTGTCAGATTGAATAGCAGCAGTGTCACCAGTGGAGACTCAAGTACTTCCCATATGGCAGCTCAAGGAAGTCAAGTGAATGGAATTGTGGATTCTCTGACTAGCAATGCAGTCCCTCGCATCATCATCATTCCTACCTCAGAGACCAATCTGTTTCAGGAAGAACTGGAAGAGGAAGAGACTGAATTATTCCACTTTCATGACAAAAAGAGCAATCTGCTGGACTTGGAAGGGCTTAGCTCATCTATGGAGTTCCTTGAAGCTGTTGAGAAATTTCTATCCTAAGTTTGTCAAAAGAAAACTTTCCAGTAATTATTTTCTTGGCATCTTCTCCACTTAATTATACCAAATAACTGAAGCCTTGTACGTTAGATAATCAGATTTTTTATTTATTTATTTTTATATAGTAGTCACTAGACAGCCTTCAGATTTATCTTTGTCCAAACCAGCTCAGGCATGGAAACAGGCTTTCTTTCAGATTGTGCTGCAGGAAATGAGCAGTGGAAGATCTGGCAGCAGGACCGAGTGGCATTGGTCAAAGGAGGCCGCCTGATCTGGTGCCACTGATGGTGACACGGTGGGGGTGCCACTGATGGGGGTGCCAGCAGAAGGGAAAATGACTGACTGAGAGCAGGGTCATCTGCTGAATTCTTCTGCTATCTGCATGTGGAGCAGCATTCCTGTTTTGGCAGCTCTGCTCTGGACAGTGATGGAAAGCTTTGCGAGACCGCAGTGTCCACCAGCCCCAGCAGTAAGGCAGATGGCTACATGACCTCAACTAGAGTTTAATCAAATAATTCTCAGCATTGTTTTTGCTGTGTTTTATTTTTTAAATAGGCAGCATGCTAAACATAAGGAAAGAAACTGGTGGTTTTTCACTGGGAAGTGACTGATTCCTAGCTTCCAATCCTCTGAAGTTTAGTGGTAGAAATCTGGATTTTACCTCAGCATTAGCATGGTCACCTAAATGTCAAAATGCAAGGTGCTATATGCTAAAACATACAGTACTGTAGAAGCATTCAGAGTACCTTCAGAGTTACAGTCCTGATTAAATATGTATGTATCCTAATGAGTCTGTGATTGAAAGGGTGAATGCTCACAGCTGGCTTGACAAGTCATTGACAAAAATAAAGCCTTGGCTGCTGTATATCACTTGTCTGTGCAGAGGAGGTTATCTCCTCTAAAACAAACCAGCAGATGTCTTTTACAGGTCACTTACCAGAGGCCTTCAAAGTGGGTATAACATCACCATGGGGAGAGAACCACACAATACTGTGGTGTTTGCTAAAGGATCTGCACTTAGATCATTATCTGTGGTTACTCATTGTGCTCATTTTATCTGTGCTTCACATTATGGCTCAGGCTCACAGGACTCTCCTAGCATTTTAATCCTAACTGCACTCTTCCTTTTTTTACTCATCTGCCCATTTCTCTGTGTCTTCCCTTTCAGTTTCTGATTTTCAGATATAGACAACAAGTTGAACTACATTGTTTTTCACATAATATCAATATATATTAGTAGAAATCAGGTGCTTCTCTGGATATAATAGTGCAAATATTTGGTCCAGGGAGACTAATAGCATTCAGACATTCAACAAGAGAGTGAAAGTTTATGTTCATAGTCTCAGTTTATTTCCTTGGCTGTGTCCTAGATTGTGCAGAGAACAGTGAGAGAACTTCCAGGTTTTGTGTATTGCACTGCCTGATCTCAGGAAGTAATTTCTGTTTGCCCATTTTCCTGATGCAAAAACCAGATGGGAAGTATAAAAGTGCTTTTAATTAATTTTTTTCATTACAAAAAAAGATAGCACAAATCTTGTTTTCAATGAGCTAGACAGGACCACCACTAAAGAACAAATTAAAACCCAGAGCAGCACAAGAGTGTGAAGAATGCCTCCAAACCTGCACATCTGAGGCTCTGCAAGGTGCCAGATTGTTGAGAGGACTGACACTTCCTTTTGATATAGGCTGTACAATTTTTAGAAAAGGAAAACCAAAAAATGGCACTGGCAGGTTACAGAGGTGATTGCTGTGACAGGCTGCCTAATGCAGTCCTGATACTCTTAATGCTGCCATTCTCTGAGGTGCTCTGCTGGCTAGAGACCCTCATACTTCCTTACTGTGGAAAGCAGGGAGGAAATCGAGGATGGAGCCCCATCATGCGAGCACTGCCTGTGTGTATCCCTGGTGTGTGGTGCTGGGGACCAAGGCTCGGCTGGGGCAGCACCCGGCTGTGGTTCCTGCAGCCAGACTGCCAAAGCCTGTGCCCATTGTGTGCCGAGTTTTCTAACAGGGACAGGAATCGCGCCAAGGTCATCTGCAATGAGCTCAGCAATTCCAAGGGCAATTCCTCCATCTGAAGACTGGCACAGTGAGCAGGCAGTGCAGGACAGCTGCCGGGGACTGGGACAGGGATGTGCTCACTTGCAGTTCCACAGCGTCAGGTTTTCATCCACTGCATAGTTTTGGCCACAATGAGTAATCAAATGTTAATTATGTATTATGTTCATGGGAAATGGGGCAGCCTTAGCCCTAGACTAAACATACTGCCCTGCCATCTTGGATTCTTGTCCTTTTTTTTTGCTGAACCTGCCATTTCTGAATTTTTTTCCTACACCAACTGTGCAGTCAGTGACCTTACTTCTTGCCTTTAATATCCTCAGCTATTGCATCTTTTTTATTCTTGATCCAGATGTTAGGAAGCAAGTGTTCTTTCAAGGCTTACAAGCCTTAGACCTGACTTGTACTGTTGTAATTACTCCAGATAACAATAGAAAATGCATTTGGTGTTCCATGTTATAAAAACATACTGGAAAGGATGTAGGCAGCGTATTGCTATAGATTTTGGCAGGATGAAGAATGGAAGACCTGAAGTCATAGCCAACAAATTCCTCCATATCTGAAGTTTTGCGTTCTACCTGTTAATCTACAAGAAAGCTCTCCAGTGATCTCTTGTATGTGTTTGGTACTATTAGTGCTGGTACTGTGAGTGTGTCTCAGAAAATTAGCAGGCTTGAGGTATGTGCAAACAATGTTTCACTTTAGTGCTGTTAGTGTCATACACTGTTAGTGCCATTGCTTCAGAAGCTGCTATCAAGATTACTGCTTGTCTAAACTGATGCAGGATAAAATACTAAATTGTATAATGGTAGAGAGATAAAACCCAAAGTTGTAAGAAATACCAGATAAATTTACTGCACTTACTGTGAGACTTATGCAGAAACGTCAGTCACAGAGTAAATTAGTCTCAAATTGAATTATACAATGCAGGAGAATTTTGCAAGCTTCTCTGTTGCCACATTAGAATAGATAGCACATAAAAATGTACACTAATTCATGTTGCTTCCCGTTTCACAAAGGAATGTATTGATTCACTTAACTGGAATAAAACATTCTTAGGAGTTCAACTGAATTATCCATTGTTTGTTTTTCTTATTTAATCATTATTTTTGGAGCCAGGATGAGGAATAAAAATGTTGAGTCAAAGCTTTTGAAACCTGTGCTCTGATCCAGTTAATAGTAAGATTTTATATATATATATATATATATATATTTATATGACTTTATTTTCTAGTCAATGAGACTGCTCGGGTGCAAGCACTCACCTGCTTGAGTGCATAACATCTAAATTTAGAGTTCACTGGCTGGATAAAACCTGAAGTTGCACAGCTACTTTTGAAATACAATGACTTCAGCTGGGATGGCATGTATCAAGTGAAAAAAATTAGCCAAAGTCAATACGTCAAAACTGATAGCAGACTTTGATCTTTGACCTATATCTGAATGAAAGTTAATGAATAATTGTTTTTTTCTGCTAAAACTCTGTATAGCACAATTATAGGATGTGTTCCAATTTTCATGAATAACAGAAAATCCAGGCCACAAGTGTAAACACTATTTTTTCAAGAGCAATAATACTTTTTAATAGTTAAATCAATGGTTAGATAGAGTTTGCAAATAAGAAAATTTACTTACTTGAATCTTAATGAATCTTGCAGCTTCGGGCTGGTATGAAACATGACCTAATACTACATTCTTCCAGAAAGCTCACTCATTTCCCAGACATCCACCCATTTCCCTCCTTTCAGGAGGCACACCTGAACAAGAAACTTTTGGCACCAACATCTAACCTTATTTGGTTTTAATCATATTTTTGGGTGTATTTTGAACCTTTCTGGGTTTGATCCACTTTATTCGCTGAGACCTTATTTCCTCTGCTCTTCTGTGTTTAAACCAGACTGTAATTTTTCTCCCTAGTTTAAAATAAAAAAAGCAGCAGTAGAAAGTTGCACTGCCCTAAGGATGCCATTTTCACCCTCGTGGCAGCACAGGAGCAGCAGCAGGAGCAATCATCACACCAGGCCAGCAGCAGAGCCCTCACAGGAGGACAAGAGCACCCCAAAAAGGTAGGGATGGCACGTGCAGGCTGCAGTGACAGGCAGGGCTTGGGGGCTGAGGTTATACACCAAGGGCTGGGGTTATAGGGCACAGCAGCAGGTCTGGGTACAGGCAGATAGGGACCAGGCTCCAGAGCCAGAGGTCAAAAGCCAGGAGCCAAGGATGAGGGGTAAAGGATGAGTCAAGGGTCAGGACATCAGGGATCAGAGAGCAAAGAAAATACTGCATGGTAAATACCTTCTTTTTAAATTTCCTTGCTTTCTGCCCAGCCCTTAGAGGTTTTGTTGTTGTTGTTGTTATTTGGATTTTTTGTTTGGTTTTTGTTGCTTTGGTTTGTTTTTTTTTTATTGTTATTGTTGTTGTTACATCTGCTCTTTACTGCTTCTCTGTGCAGATTATCCTTGGTATTTTTTGCCTGGTTCTTTCACAAGTATATGAAAGCAAAGTAAGTTAGAGGGGAGATGAAAACTTGGGTAAATATTATGCAACAGACTCCTTTCTCACATAGGAGTAATCAAAACTGCCCACAGTGCTGGGGTTCAGCAAGTGCATGGACCAGGTGACTGCAGGGTGAAGCCTGGCAAGGTGGAAGCAGCCAAGATGCATCTCCTGGTTCATCTCAACCCAAGCTGATGATCAGTTCTTGCTCTGCACGTCATCCAGAGCCTCAGTCTATAATCAGTGTTCTGTCTGCACCTCGAATGGACAAGTATTTAGTGAAAAGTTTGGTGCTGGGATGCCTTTGTTGTACCTGTCACTTCTACCCATGTATTAACATACACTACTTATGGCTTACTAAGAGTTCAAATGCCTGTCCATGGATTTTACTTGCTTTATGGTGTGTCTGCATTGCACTCTGGTTGTACTAGTTAGCGCTACAGGTTGTAGCGGGACATGAAAAGCTAACTGCAAAATGTCAAAGCCAGGTGTAAATCCACTGTTACTGATTCTCCCCTCTGCCAGCACAAGGAGATGACTGTGTGCCAGCAATCCTGGTGCCAATATTTCATGGTAAAATCCCCTGGGAGAAAATTTCTGTGGGGATGATTGTCTTATACAATATATTGACTTTTTTACTCTGAAGCATTTTTCCTCTGTATTCCAAGCTATGTATCATGTTGGTATTTTTATTTAAAAGGTCAGGTGCATTCTTCACCTTAAAGCAAAACACCAGAAGACCCTTGTCATCTTCAGGACCTTGTTCTGGACTGAATCAGTTAAAGGCTAATTAGGCAATAGGAGGTGAAGAGATGGGCTGCTGCTGTTATCGGTGGTGCATGGTCCTTAGGGTGAGGCACCCCAGCCCTTTCCCTCCATGCCAAGGAGCAGGTCTGTTCTCCTGGAACAGCCAGACGTGTGCTAGTGGGTGCCACATGAAATTGGTATTTTCCAGACATTTATAGGGAGCTCAGTGTGAGTAGATTTTTATGGGGACAGCAGAAGATGCTTCCCTAGAGTTTCTCCTTGCCAAATTTCTGGTTCCTTTCCACTGCAAGCAGGTGGCAAATCTCTTCAAAGGAACAGATGGATGTATTTAACATTAACAACTAATTTTCCACAGGCGTGTTCTTGGAAATAAATGATCCCTATTTCCTGAGATGGAGGGAAAAAAAAAACAGCCCAGAGCAGACTACAAGTGTGGAAAATGTGAAACTGAACACACTGGAGTTTGGTAAATGCAAAGCAAATGAAAACAGCAGCTTAGAGTGGAAACTGTTGATCCACCAGAAGCAACAGAAGGGCCAATTT